GAAAGACTTCATGGTCCTCAGGAGTATTTCTTTCTTCCTCATTAGAAACAGAATTCCCTTCACTCATGTGTCACAGGCACAGAGGGATTGCTATTTGCTAAGGCATTTCGGCAAATTGTATATCTGTCAGTGATGAGCTGGTACTGAAGCAGCTTCCTAATGAGGTCTTAATCACAAAGCTTTGCTTAATTAGGGTAGCTGGGACACCAGCCTGGCGTGTTTGGGGTGATGGCTGGAGGGTGCACAAGGCAGCGAGCTCAGGGATGGCCACTGCCCTGGAGGGGCCAGAGAAGGAAGATGGGCAGAAAAGAGCAGCTCCTTCCTGAGTGGTTTCTGCCCTTATGCTGCCCCTCTCGCTGAACTGCTGGCAGATGAAATGTCCTCTGAGGATGAGATTTTCCTTTGCCAAGACTCGTATGCCTTATAAATTGCTATGGTTATAGATCTTRGTAATGCGATCTGTTTTCCCCAATTGAAATTGTTGGTTAGGGAAGAAATACAGTGAACTAATTGTTCCAAGTAACACTTGAGCCAYATAAATATTTCAGGGGATTTCAGCAGCCTTAAAAGGCTCAAAGTTGGACACGARCAAACTTACCTATAATCACAGATGAATTTTTTTGCAATGTGAGAGGAGACTGAAGAAGGAAAAGCATTTCAAAAGTGCAGAAAGATTTATCTACGGATATTAACGTTCCAATAAAAGATGTTTTTGCACATGGCTTTTGAGCTGTGGAGCTCCTTGCCAYAGTATGCTGTGGGTGCCAAAGGGTTATATGAGCTCAGGAAGGGGCTGGAAAAWGAAAGTTAAGCAATCCCACCCTGCCATCTTTAGCTTAGCAGTTGTTTAAGCTCCAGGTGCTGGGAAGATGTTTGGGCCTCTTCCATTAGCTGCCTGTCCTCATCCTCACCACCAAGCTGTGCTGGAAGGAGCTCCTGAGGAGGACGCTCGTGCTGACCTCTCTGCTCTTCTCTGGGGAGAGCTTTCCTTTCTCCCCTTTCCCTCTATTGAAACTATTCTTTAAACTGAGATTGGGTGAAATGGGATGTAGCTCTCACCTCAGTTTGTCTAATTTATTYCTGCTTTTTAAAGAAATATTAAGTGATAATTCAGACCAATTTTTGTGAGCAGACTGGCGTTGTGGCTGGAAGCTGCAGGTGGCTGTGGGTGGTGGCTTGGGGACGTGCAGGTCGGAGCCCTGCTGGTGCCAGGCCAGCCCCATCCCAGCTCGGCCCCAGCTGCTGCTCTCCAGCGTCGCCCGCCCTGAGGAAGTCCCCTTACTTCATCACTGAAGGCAGCTGACGTGCTGGCCTGTGCAACCCTAGGCAGGCGCTGGGGTTTTTCCTTGCTTTATCCTGCCTGACTGATAATTAGAGCTTTGCTGGCTGTGGGGACAGTTGGGCAGTGTCCTGGTCTCATTAGCAGCAGGTCATTGCAGCCGTGGTCACTCCCCTGCGCCGGGTTAAGAGCGCCCTGTTAAACCCTCATCCCTGCGCTGCCACAGCAGACGCGGGTTGCAACTGCTCRGCGTTTGTGTTAATTGAAACACCGGCACTAATTGTTGAATTAGTCATATGCAGAGCAGCAGAAAGGGGAAGCTCTCGCAGCGTTTCATAATGCTGTATGTTTTGCAAGCGACTCAGGGACGTTGCTCGGTGCAGCGGGACCCTCGCGTGGGYGCCCTTGGTGCCCGAGGGTGCTGGGGAAGCAGTTGCAGGGGGCAGAGCAACCTGGCCTGCTGCTTCAGGTGCTCTGCAGCTCGGTGAGAGGTGCCAGGGCCTGGATGGTCCTTCAGGAGATCAGGGACGTGTTGGGAAGCCCAGCAAGGTCATGGGGGTCCTTGGACCTCATAGCTCCAGGATGAGATATGCTGCTTGTGGAACTGCATGCTGGAATAGTTGTGGTTGAGGATCGCAGGGTGCCATCTAGCTGTGCTTTCCTTGTTCAGAGCTCCTAAAAATCAGCAGAGGAGCAGGTGAAGCTCGGAGGAGTTTGTCTGCATGACTRTCCTGGAGGAAGGGAAGGAAGGCAGCTGCTTAGTGTATACTTGGAAAGCAGGACATTTAAACATAGGCTAGGAGCTGTCTCTCCAGCTAGGAGAAACAGTGCTGCCGTTGTTTCTGAGTCCAAGGAAGGCCCAGAGGAAAGCAAACAATTTTTCAGATTTCCGGGCTCTTCTTAGAGGTTCGAGTGGACGAGCAAACTTGTGAGACGGAGGTGAGAACAGCTACTGGTGCTGTGCAAAGTCACACTGTCCGGAGGAGGCCAAGCCCGGCCTGGCGGGCAGCGTTTGTGCACATGCCCTGCTCYGTTGTGTCCTGGACTGCTGTGGCAGCGGCCCCTCCGGAGAGCACAGGAGGGTTGGGAAAAGCTTTCCTGCATCTTGCACCACTGCAGTGCAGCAGCCACCTCCGTGCGAGCAGCAGAGCTCCTGCTGTCTTCTGCGTGAAAATCCAGCCGTTTACAGACCGAGAGATTCCCTGGAGTCTCTCCCCATGCTCCATCCGTTTGGGCTTTTTTCCAAGCACTTCCTTGCAAGTGTGGTGTGGTGCTGGGAAGGATGAGTAGCTTCAGGAAAACTGCTGGTTTAAGGATATTTTTAGGACTATGGAGTAGACTTAGAGAACACTGAAATGATTGTATATGTAGGAATGGTGGTGGTGTTTACGTATTTGCCCTCTCTTTTACTTTTTTTCCATAGATTTTGGCAGTATTTCAGAGCTGTTGTTGTCTGTGCTCRGTATTTACCTATTAAAGAGGCCTCCAGGCATCATTTGCGTGGGYACCGTAGCCATTTGTTTTGGAAAGAAAATATGGCAAATGTGGATTTTTTTTTTTTTTTTATTTGGAAGTCTCAGATTGTTCCATAACTTCTGTGGATGAGAGGATGTGTATGAAGAAAACAGGTTTGTTCAGCTAAAATCTTTGCCTTCTCTTTTTGCGTAGCACTTGCTGTGCCTTGTGTGTGGCCTGAGCATCTGGGATCACGCTAGGGAGAATTAAATCTTACAGGGACTTTGCAGTGGGGAAAAATCACTCACTTTCCACCGATTGCACAAGTGGCTGTGGGATTTCACTGGGGTGATATTCCGAGATTGCCCCAAGGCAAATAGATCATCCAGGCTGCCTGCGTGGCAGCTGTGGGTCGTAACCAAGAGCCTAACCCTTTTTGTTAACTCCCTGACCTATGTGAAATAGTGGATCACCTGGAGCACGTTGGTGATTGCAGCTACAGACGTGTTCAGGCACCTGCAAGACGGCTGCAGGTACTGGGGTCTGCTCGGAGCAGGGTTGAGTTTTGCCTTTGTGTCTGGCCACGAGTGTCCCCAGCACCAYGCGTGACACTGGGGAGTTACAAACCTGCCCTAGTAAAGACGCATTCAATAAAAGGAAGGAGCCTAAAGCAGAGTTCCCTCAAAATTTGAGGAGCCTTCCTTAGCACAAGGCTGCACAGCAGATCCCTTTAAGGAGAAACTTGGAAAATCCTTTCCCTTTGGTGTTACTGTCTCGGTCCCTGTCGAAAATTGTGCCCACTGCACTGGGTGTAACATTGGCTAGTGGGGCTAAAACYCCATTCGTTTAGGAGCAGTTTAAAGCACTGTTTTGCTGGCACCCGAGAGCCGCTGCTCYGGAGGATGCAGTGGGAGACGTTCATGCTGGAACAGGACGAGCAGCCTCCCTGTCTTCCAGCACCCGGAGCAATTCCAAACAAAAGACTTTGTTCCCCGGTGACTTCATTCTTGAGAGGCATTTTTAATTTTAGTTTTTAACTTGGTGAAGACTTAAGGGTAATTTGTCGCTCACAAGAAGAATGCGGCTCTCAAATGTCATGYAAAGGATCCGCTCCATAATTCATGGGCTGGGGAGTGTGGGAGGCTAGAGGAGGGTGCACAGCGAATATGAGAGATTTAAGCTGAATGAGGCTCTTGGTGTTAAAGGCAGCTGTTTGTGCCTGCTGGATGTTTATTGGTCCTGAGCTCTGCATCTTTTGCTTTCTAGCTCATACACTTGTATAATCTTTCATATATAACATATATAATTGGTAAAAATAAGTGTRGTGGGACTTTTTCTTTTCCCTTCCAATGTGGAAGGGGATTTGTGCAGCAATACTGGACTGGTGCTACTTTATTTCTCTTCTATCATTGTTGCCCTGTCTGTGGAAATTTGGATTGTTCGGGATTAGGGACACGTTGCTGTGCAAGTGTTGGGAAAAGAGACCTTTTCCCTTCCTGTTGGAAGAAATGAGTAAGGACAAGGCTGAGAATGAGCCTTGGGAGTGTGAATACAAAGCCCTTGGGTGCTGCTGGGCTGGGCGAAGGCTCGCAATTACACCAGTGTCCTCGTGTTTCTCCTGCATCTCTGTGCAGTTTGCAGGTGGCATCTGCTGGCCGTCCCTTCTGGCTCCTCTGCTCGGCCTGCTTCCCCTTCCCTCCAGAGCCAGCTGACTCTCTGGCATTGCTGAAGTGAAGTAGGGAGCTCGCTCATGATTTTCTTCTTCCAGTAGAGCTGAAGGTGTTAGAGCCTCTTGACAGAAGTGTGATAATAACCGAACAGCAGGAAGTGAAGCTGGTTGCATGGTGAAATAACCTCCAGAAGGGAAGCTGGGTCCTTTAGCTCTGCATTTCTGCTCATAATGCTTCCCAGAGGAGCAGGAATGGCCCAATCCAATCCTCCCAAYTGGGGAGGTGCACGGCCTATGTGGATGCCTGACTTGGAGCTGAGGGCTCCTCTTTGGGAGGCGACACTGAACATGCAAGATGCCCCGTGTCAGTTGTGATGTAGTTGTGGATTTTCCTTCAGGGGAGCATTCCATTCACAGGAGCTATGACGAAAGCCAAAAAATGAACTCACTGACACGGAGAGGAGCTATTGGTGCAAGCGGGTCTGCGAGTACAGCTGCAGGAAATGAGTCATGTTTTTACAAAAGCATAAGCTGAAAAACGTGTGCCTCTTACATGCGCTTTTCCTTCTTGGGCTAAATCGAATCTCCTCTCTCTAGGTTTTCCTCAGGCATCAGGAATGTCTTCTGAGCCCACATCGGCTGCTCCCGAGCAGTCGCCCTCCTCTCCGCCCTCGCCAGGCTCTCTCCATCTGCCCGAGAGCCGCAGGTCGAGAGATCGCTCCCCGTCTCCCATGAGGGGCTACCTCATCCCCAGCCCTCTCCCAACCCGACGCACCAGGACGTTCTCAGCGTGAGTATTACGAGGGCTGAATTGCACCCACAGAGCCAAACTGCTGCCTTTWGGGCAGAAGGATTGGCCCATCATGGAGCTAAAGGGGGTCAGATAGTTTCTCATGTCTGGAAGATGCTTCAGGATTCTACTGCTGCCTCTTCCCCTGTCAGTTTTGATGACATCAGAATTCTAATCCCAGTTGCCTGTATTTTTTTTCTCTCTCCTTTTTTTTTTCTTTTTTCTTTTTTTTTTTTTTTTTTCCAGAGCAGTTTTTCCTCTTTTCTGAGGTGGTGCTTCCCCTCAGGCAGTGAGATGTTGTTTTTGGTGTTTCTTCATCACCACTGTCGTCATCTTTGACTTGGCTTTTCTTCTTGCCACCCCTTAAGGACTGGACCAAACTTTCTGGAAGTTTTGGTTCTTTTACCCCTGATACTTGTGTTACCATAGGCCAGGTCATATTTCAGGGATAATCCATGACCCTGATACTTCTCAGAGGATTTTTTTTCTTCTTAATCACCTTTAATATCCCTGTCTTAAATTTTCAGAATTTGCTCAAGTAGATCTCTAAAATAATGTATTGGTTTTCAAGATATAACCTGCATCTCTCTAGTTGTGTGAGATTTTCATATAAAATAAGCATTATTTTTTCTGCTGTTTTTAAGCTATTTGAGGTAGTGACCCTATAGCAGAGCCTCCTTTTTTGGTCCCTCTCTTTGGCCCGGTGGTGCAGTGCAGAGGCTTTCCTCACCAAAAGTATATTCCTTTGTAGTGCAGCGATTTGTTCCCTCTTGGAGGACAGAGGATGTTATTACCTGATTCTGTCCTTCCGAAAAAGAAACGCCCAGTGCCTGGGGCAAATGGCCCCAGGGAGGTGCTGACCAGCAGAAGGCAACGTGGATCTTTCCATTAACCTCCTCAGTGGCCTCTGAATCGGGGTCTGAGRGTAGAGCAGAAAGCTCTAGTCTGTCCTTTGCCCTTTCTGACACAATTTGGCAGATACTTCTGTGCAAGAGAGGCCTGGCAGTGCCGAGCGAAGCTCTGCAAAAGGAAGACCTCAAGCCTGCAGCTGGCCTATTTTAAGTGCTCCTTAATCTAGTTGCCGTGTTTATGTCTTTTATCATCTTTCAATTTATTGAGCTCTTTTCTAGAAAAATTATCCGTACGAGTTTGAGGCTTCATTAAGATTGATGCTATTTATATTTGTACTTTTCTGTTCCAAATGAGATGAAAAAGAACAGCAACAGCAGAGGGAAATATTGTATGCTGTCAGGTACAAAAAAAAAAAATATCAAATGTTCTAAGCTGTGTAATGGAAATATATTGCTAAAAAGAGCATAATTGACTTGGTAATTGGGGTTGACCTTGAAAACCAGTTCCAGACTAGCTTGCCTCACTGTTATGTTAATAATGAACTCTAATTCTTCTCAGCTGTTAATCCTAGGCTGGCTCTTTCAACCTAAAGTATTTGAGTTTTGGCTCCCACAGTTCTTTAATAGCTGTTAATTAGTGTAGGAATCCTGTTGTATTTGCTAACCCTGAAAATTAAGAGTTTCATTTTTCTTTTTTTCCTGTGTGCGTGTCCTCTTTAAACAAAATGAGCTCCGAGTCAGTTCTGGCCCCAGAGTTTTATGGAAGGGCTGAGTGTGCCAGGCAGTGCCTTATTATTCAGTGGGACTGTTTAATTTTAGTTCACTGCAGATGTGGGGTCTTGTCCCCCCACTGATTTATCTTCTTGAAAGATGCAATTGAACTTTAATGGCTTTTTTTAGGGCACTGAGTGCTTTTTTGTGTAGCAAGCAAGCACACCCTGGCGGGGTCAGCTGCATGGATAGCTTCATAGAGCTAAAAATGAAGTGATTTAATGAAATGAAGTGTTTTCTTCTCTCATTCCTTCTTTGTTCTTTTTTTTTTTTTTTTTTTTAAACATGACCCACCCTCCCCACTCCCCATATTTTTAAAAACATGACTTCAGGCAGCAAAGTTTAAATTAACATGATGAAAATGATGTAAAAATTGCCATGATGCATATAGCCAAGTGACAACCTAATCACTTACTGAAGGTTTGTCTTGAAGATTCAAAATAAAATCCACTTCCAGTACACGAGCAGCCTACTGGCTTGGGCCCTAATGGGATGAGAAGGTCCTGATCTAGTAACTCCTTTGTTTAAGCCACATAAGCTGTTTAAAAGAGTTTGCTTCATTCATAACGGTATTAAGAGAGAATCGTCTTTTTTCTCTCTAAAGAAAAGGCTAGGGGCAAAACATGTGCAAGAATAACTACTTGCTGCAGAGTGAGAATTTGGGTGGCTTTCCTCYTTTTGCCTATTTGGAGGTTTTGCCGTGGGTGGCCAGCGCTGACCCTCTGCTTTGTGTGTCTCCCCCTGCAGAACCGTGAGAGCTTCCGAGGGCCCCGTCTACCAGGGCGTCTGCAAATGCTTCTGCCGCTCCAAAGGCCACGGCTTCATTACCCCCGCGGATGGAGGGCCCGACATCTTCGTGCACATCTCGGAGTAAGTCCCCTGGGCTGGAGGGGGAAGCCCTAACTTCAGTTTGCCTTGAAAACCGAGTGTTTCTGTCACATCGGAGAGAAGAATGGTTTGTGATGTGCCACCCTCGTCTTGAAATAGGAGTTATGCAGGTGTTCCTGGCAGCCACAATTTCTGTATTGCAAATTTGCTGAGGTAAAGAACAGTAGATCGTCCTGCTGGATATCTTAAAATAGAGCATAGAGTTTCACCTAGGCCCAGAAACCTGAATTTAACAAAAGCAAATCGTCCAGGCAGTCTCCAGTTTTAATTTGAAGACTTTTAATACTAAGCATTTGCTACTTCTACCTTGCACAACTTATACCACTATTAAACTAAAGGTTACTTACCCTTACTGTTAAGAAAAGCCATGCCTTATAACTTCCTTGCATTTGGCTAGTTTCAGCTTGTATCTGTTTATTGTTAAGGCTTTCCCTGCTAAAGGGCTTGTCAGTACCTGACACTTTCTCCCTTCAACAAACAGAGATTTGTCACCTCTGGATCCAGCTTTTGCTAAACAGATTGAGCTGCTCAGGTGGACTTTTTTTTCCTCACAGTCTTAAACAATTTCCAGTCTCCTTTTCAGAGTGTGCTGCAGTATTTTAAAGAGCACAGTGGTCCCCTTTCAGTTTAAAGAGATAAAATCTCCTTCATATTCCCGTTCTGTGCCTCCTCCTTTACATCCCGTAATCGCATTAGCCCTTCTTGCCCCACGTCCTGTGCCGAGTTGCTTATCTGCTCTGAGCTGCGCCTCCTGCGTAGCGTCAGGGCGCCGGGGTCGTCCCCGCTGCCGTCCGTCACCCCCGGGCAGCGGCAGCCTTTGTGTCCCCTGCTCCGCGACGCGTGGGCGCCCGCAGCCACGGGCTGCAGATCGCGCTCAGCAGCTGCTCTGTCTTCATTATTTATTGCTCTGCCAAGCTGCAACCTTCTGTCTTCTATTTGTTTCTGTATTGACTCCCAGGAATTGATCTCTGTAGACCTCTGTTAGATTGCTCAGTGTTTTTCCTGGAGATCTAAAGATCCTGGAGATCTAAAGAACATCTTCATCACTTAATTGGCTTCTGTATASTTTTATTGCATTGTTATTGCACAGTTTTGAAGCTCTATAATCCTAATTTGTTCTTTGCCTATAAATCAGTGGTAAGCCAACAAAAACCTTGCTGAAGTTATTCTTTTACTCCAAATACTCATGTGCATAGTGTATATATCATCTTGTATACATCATCATGTATATATCATCTTCCTCCAGATGTAATTTATCCGTTGACTAGCATTAATTGTATTTTACTTCTTTGTTAATTGAATCTCGTATCTTTTTGCCCTTGAACGTGCTTTCAGAGCAACTAGCCAGTTGGTACCTGACTTATCTGTCCTTGCCTTTTGAGCAGGAGCACCCTGGCCCTCTTCCAGTCTCCTGAATGTTTTCTTCATGATGAACATTGGCAAGCCAGAGCTTTTTAGGTTTCCTAATCACRTGTGGGTGGAGTGGTCTGATTTAGAAATGTTCAACACTAAGAAAAGTTATTTAATAGCCGTTTTTTTCTTTTGTCTAGTACAAATACACAGTCTTTGTTTCCAGAATAACTTTAAACAAACATTTCTGAATCACAATTTAATTCTTTTACTGGGAAAATCCAGTCTGGCCTATTACCTTTACTGATTGGCAAGGGTTTAATTAATCCCTAGAGATATCTTCTGTCTTTTGGACTGCTCTGTGTTTATGTATACAAAATGTAAGCTAATCTTTTAGGCATTAATCAAATTTTGTTCAAGGTCTCCATATATCTTTCTCTCCCTCACCAATAGCCCAAGCCCAGTAGTCTGTGCCAAGTAAGAACATCTATGGTGGTGGAAGGTTATGAAGAAGATAGGGGGGACATTCTCCTCCTCCATCTCCTGTGGGTCAGCAGTGCCTGGGCCATTCTCAGCAGATGCTTAACCCAAAGAAACCTTGTCATGGAGAACCACTGCCCGCCCGGGCAGTCTCTTTCCACAATTCACAGCCCTTGCTCTTTTCTGATATTTAATTTACGTTTCCCTTGCTTTCACTTTCACCCTTCTCTACTACTCTTTCCTTCTCCGTAGCAGAAAAATAATTCCACTTCACAGCCTATCATTTGTATATTGGAAGACCACTTTGGAGACCATTTCTCTTTCAGAAATATGATGATAAGTTTAGCTCATGAATTTGCAGGATTGAAGGATATGCTTTAGTGAGACAGCTATTTTAGGCTCGATTTTGCTCCTTTTGAAGTCAACAGGATTATTTTCTATTGAACCAGGACTGGACCATTATTTTAAATGCTTCCTCTGTAGGTACATTTGCAGGGCTTAAATTAARAAATAGGTGATGTTTCTCCCTCAGCCTTTTAGTAAAAAGTGCTRTTATTAAGGCACTGAAGATTTCAGCACATTGTGTTCTTTAACTGCTCAGAGTGTACTTGAAGTAGTTGGAAATAGCTTTTAGTCCTACATGGCAATGATATCATTGTCTTAATTCTGATGAAAGGCAGCATTAGAAAGATGAATTAATAATATCTTGCTCTTCAGTTTATTTCACTGTGAATTAGCAGCTGATCTCTCTTAATGGGAATTGCTTATTACAGCAGCGTGTAATATCCGAATTGCCGTGGCCCGCAGGGTCTCTAATGGCTGTGGTCTGTGCAGGGTGACTCTCAAGATGTTGCCTGTGTTTATCATGAGATATTTTCCTACGTATTTGCTCAGCTTCTTTCCTCAGGTAAAGCTGTACGTGGGAGTGAGCCATCAAGCTATTCCCTGTCTCTCTTCAGGACAGATCTAACTTGTGAGGTGGCAGAGGAACATTTTTGGTGGTATCGGTTCTTCCTGCAACCTGGAATTTCAGGAACTTGGGTAGAACAGTGTTCTGAATAGAGAGGAACAATCTAGATGGTGGCAGCGAGTGAATGTTTTGAGCATCAGTGATCAGTCTGCTTCTCTTTCAGATTAAGGTGATATTTTACGTGAAATTGCAATATAAAAATAAACATATTTTCCCCCAAGCCTTGGGGGATGGAGAGTCTTCCTGAGCCGCCTGTGGCGTGCACAGCAGCCAGGGGTGGTGGCAGCTCTGGTGACGGCACCACCGACAGTGGTGGTTTCCTGGCCTGCCTTACGGAGCTCTGCACAGAGCATCTGTGGCTGAAAACYTGCTGCCACGACTGCTTTCTTCTGCTTGCTGGAGGTATTTTTCTAGTTGATAAACGCAGTTGTGCTAGGAAGATGTTATGGCTCATTGGGTGTTGCGAGGCTTTAGTGCTTTGCCCTTCTCCAGAACTGAAAATAAAGTGTGCTTACTGGTGGAGTACATAAAGCTGCAGCTGGCAAGCGTGGAGGTGGAGAACTTTCTGAGATTGTAACTCAGGCTAATGTGTTTGGGAAGCTGGAAACACGGGAAAACAAATTTGCCTGAAGTAACATTTGAAAAATCTYTAATTGCTTCTTTGGTAATGACATAGCTAATGAAGGAGAGGATGGGCGTGTGTGTAGGGGGTGGATCAGGGCATGTGAATCCCTCCCCACCGCTGGGCCAGTCTGGTGGGGATCGAGGGCCCACAGAGGCTCCTTGGCCCCTGGGCCCCGTGTTACGAATGGGGCTTTGGCCTCAAGCCTCCCCACCCGCAAAGGGGAGACAGGGAGACAGGCCACCCGTGAGCAGGGCCCGTGGAAGAGCCCTGGGCAGAAGCAGCCGGTTTCTTTCTCTTGCAGAAGCAGCTGGTTTTACAGAACAGGAAAGGTGTGTGAGGAGCTGGTGGCTTTTCTGCAGCTCGCCTGTGCTTGGCTCTGAAGGGGAAAATGCTGCATTGCAGAGAGTCTTTCAGACTGCCCTTCAGGCTGCCTTTTCCTCACCCCATGCTGAATGGTGATGCTGTAGAACTGGCACCGTCCTTTTACTTTTCTTATTTTTTTTTCTTTCTTTTTCCCCTCTGCTTTGACACACAGTATCTTTGGGTCCCTGGAGAGATCCGGGTAATTTCCCGTAATTTCCGGGTAATTTGCTGTAATTTCCTTGCATGCTATGTCGTGATCTCAGGAAGGTTTATGTTTATCACRTCTGAAATTTAGGAATACTGAACAGGGTAGAGGAGATCTCTTGCTGGGGATCCCGGCAGGTACAGCCCCATTCCAATTTCCCTCAAAATTTTCCAGTTTTTCCAGTTTCCTTCAAAATACTTCGGGCACTGGATGACTTGTCTGCTCCGGGGCCGCCCGTTCCCGTTCCTGCCATGCTGCTGTGCTGCTGGATCTGTTGCTGTGTTTAGGACAGAGTGTGCAGAGGGAAGAGAGGCGGCCGAATATCAGACATTGCTCGGGAGGCGTTTCAGTCAGACAGGGAGAAACTGAAGGGTTTCCCCCTGTTTCACTGTTGGCTCAGTGGTTTAATCCATGCCAGGCAGTGCAGGATTCAAACCCTGGCTGCGCTGCAGGCAGAGCAGCATCGTGGAGCCCCCCGAGCCTGGGGCTTCCTCGTGGTTAATGAGCACAGAACGTAACTGCCCTTGGCGTTTGCTTTCCGCACGCGTCACCGTAGCCATTAATGCGTCTGAACCCGAGTTGGAGCCTTGCAGAAACAAGGAGCTTCTGTTCCTCTGACTTACTGATGCAAGAGGGCATTTTGCTGTGAAGTCCAGATGCCTGGCAAGTCTTTGTGCTCACTGGTGTCTTTCTCTTGGGCCACAGTGCACCGCTTTGGGTTGAATTAGCTGCTGGAGAGTAAACGCGGAGCCTCGGCTATCCCTGAACACGGAGGTGGGAAAGGTCCTTGGAAGGACGCAGGAGAGGGAGATGCGTCAGTGACCTGGCAGGGARCTGCAGGTTGCATCTTGGATGAGGGAGCACCCAGCAGAGGTCTCTTTGGGACAGGCCGGAGCCCCCAGGACTGGGGCCATGGGCTGTGGAACCCAGCACGGGCTGCCTGTGACAGCATTTAAATTTAGTGACTCTAGAGTTGTCCATTCCTCGCCATGCCCTGCTGTTTACAAAAAACACGTGGGTGTCCTGGGAGGTGTGTTGAGGTGTTGAGTGGGTGCTTGGATGTGCCCAGGACGAAGGAGCTGCTGGAGCCCTGAGGAGCATCCGTGCAGCGCGGAGCGACGCGGGATCCCAAACCGGGTAGACCCGAATACACAAAAAGCTCTTGCTCCAGAGTGTTTCCATTCGCCTCAGGCCTTGTCCCAAGAGGCTTAACTGGAGCTTTGGAATATGAATAGCAGCTGTGAGAAGAAAGAGCTAGAACATTCCTTATTTAGGTAATTTCCTAATAACCTCCCAGTTCCCTAAAAATAGTGCGGGATCAAATGCTCCACTGTAGCAGATTGGCACCAAGCTGGGAAATGGGAGTTGCTGGATAACCTAAAGCAAGTTCTATTGTGTCTTGCTGTGACACTGACATCAGGAAAACATTTCCTATTTTTAGTTTAATTTGTTGAAATGACTTGGAGTTCTTTGATGCGTAGATACCTGTTGCACTGAATGAGAATATGCATACTGATATCTTAAATAGCAGTGAAAATCCACCTTCATTTGTAGATCAACCTTTAATATGTATTTAAATGATCCAAATTATATGGTCTTCTATGATCTTAGATGATCTAAAAATATTTAATCAGCGTGTAACATCCAAAGAGATTTCCGTGTTTAACTTCCTCCAGCAGACAATGCAAGGTAACCTGTGGCATGAGTGTGACTGCTGCAGAGGGAATCRCTTTGGAGCTCCCTGCTTTCCTTCTCGGATCTCCTGAAGCTCGTTTGTGTGACACATAAGGCAGCTTCACCCTCCTGCAGCTTGTGCAGGGCTCTGTCACCCCAGGTCTTCAGCAGCCCCAGCACCTTTGAGTGTCATCAAATCCTTCTGTCTTATGAGCACCAAAAATACCAGGAAAGCTGCTCATTCCTGCTTCTACACATCATTTAGTGTCCCTGCTTGCAGATGCAGCAGAAGCAGCTGCTCTCTGGTGGGCCAGCACTGCCATAAGAACGTTATTCACAAGTGAGTTTAATCAGGCTGCAAACTAAGACCTTTGCCCGCTTGTTTTTCGTAGGCACTGGGGATGGTGAGTTAATAATAATCTCATATTCGGTAGGCACCAAGAGGGGCRGTCAGAAAGCTGCAGGAAAGAAGAGTACGAGGTCTGTGGGAGATGAGTTTGAAGGCCGACCACAGGGTGTGAAATTAGAGCTGTTTGTGTGTCCAGAGCCAGCTCTCGTGGCTGGTTTTGCAATCCACAATCCTGGTTTTGCTCCTCTAAGTTCATGTCAACAAGCAAGCAAGCAAGAAGACAAACTAGCGCATAAGGGAGGAAATCCTGCTGGGGATGAATGGAACTTCATCAGGAGCTTCAGCCTCCTGCACTGTCAGTGTGAATGCAATAGGAGAGGATACGATCCCGTTGGCATCATGCTCCATCCTCACAGGAGGGCTTCCCGGTGGAGAAAAATACACCTTTAGCATTGTATAGATTTTAGTGCTAGTCTGGCCTTCTGGGCGGAAGAAACAGGGGTAATTAACCTGATAATTTAAACTTAAGAGGTTTGGGTCAGCAAATTACTTTCTAATGAGTTAATGCAGTTTTTCTTTTCTGTGCAGAGCAGGGGCTGTAGATGATTAGATGATGCCACAACCAGCAGTCTAGTGGCTGCCCGAGGACACGGTGGCTACACAGGGATAACAGGGCCTGTTCTGTAGTCGTGTTGGCTCCTTGGCTTCCCCTTGCCCAGCACGCAGCCTGTGTCCGTGCACTGGGTAAACCATTCCTGGGTGTTCACTTCCTGGCGGAGCAGGACCATTCCGGTTGCCAGCACACTTACACTGGGATTCATTTATTTTTCAATTTGAAACACACATCCCATGAACAACAATGAAAAATACCCCATTTTTAGCACTCGAGCTSTACTTGTTCCCAACTCCAACGTGAAGATTCAAGTGATAAGTAGTGCCTGATTCCCTGCTTTGCGAGGGGCTGATCCTCGTCAGGTTCATACAGCAGAGACCTCTGGTGAAGGAGGGTCTGTCATGGCTTTTCCACCTTCATTTTATATTTCCATTTCCCAGGCCTGGCTTWGGACAGGCACGCTTGGATCTCGAATGCTGCTGGCACCAGAGCCRGCTCCCCAAGCTTGATTCCAGCCTGGGAGTGCTCCTGGCACCTCCTAACAGCTTTCAGATCTGCATTTAGATACGTTAGGATTTTCAGTATCAGGTTGATACCATCAGGTAGTGAACAATAACTTTTCTTCTACGTTTCCCATGGGACAAATCACAATTTCTGGTCACTTCAGCTTCCCCTGTACACGCCTGCTTACCCTGTGCCATGCCTGGGTGCCGAGAGCCTGAGCTGCCCTCTAGTGCTGCCAGGGAGGAAGGAGTGTAGGAACACAGAGCTGCTCTGCCCCAAGTGCTGCCCGAGATCGGGGTAATTAAGCTAATTAATTATGGRGTTGTGTGTTGGTGCTGTATGTAGTGATCAGGTACGATGCTGCTGCGAGATAGCCAAAATCAACCTCATTTTTGGGCAGCTGATGAAAACTGAGTGCGTACATGTGCTATTGGTGGTGATGAAAAGGGGCACTAACGTGTGGAATAGCTCCGTGCTTGTGTGGCTGGCGAGTAACCGAAGCTCCCCCTCCGCAGCATTGAAGGCGAGTACGTGCCCGTGGCGGGCGACGAAGTCACCTACAAGATGTGCAGCATCCCGCCCAAGCACGAGAAGCTGCAGGCGGTGGAGGTGGTCATCACCCACCTGGCGCCCGGCACCAAGCACGAGACCTGGTCGGGCCACGTCATCAGCTCCTGAGGGAGCAGGAGGGAGAGCCCGGCGGGAGGAGCTGCTGGGGTGTCCCCAAGGCAGGAATGGGCCCACACTGCTGGTGTACAGCTGGCTTGATACTTAGGAAAACAGTTCAAAATATTGATGAAAAAAGTCTATGTATATATCTATAAATGTGTTTACAAAACTGTATTTTAAAGAGACCTAGTTTGTGTGCTTTTTGGGGGGGGATTTGAGATGTTTTTGTTCTCTCTCTCTCTCTTTTTTTTTTTTAATCTTGTCAGCGGGTTCCAGTAAAAGCCCGTGTGACTTCGGGGGAGATTTCCAGGAAGTTTTTCCTAGAGCGACGGCAGTGATGAGAGACCCGGCCCAAAGGCGCTGTAGGTGCATGAGCTGGTAGGTGTCCCCTTGGGTGACACCTCTGGGCCTCGTTGCAGGTAACAAGCAGTGCCCAGACGCACTGGCTTGAGAGAGAGGGGTTTGTTGCTTCAGTTTTTCATCGTGGAAGGACGTTCTCAATCCRAGTCACTGCCACCCAACAGAAAGTCTCTCTGCTTGTTACACCCCAGCAGTTCTGACAGCAACAACTGGTTGCCCCTCAGGTGCAATGCTCTCAATGATGTCTGCTTCTGTGTGGAATATTATGGGTTTTYTAAAACCTGGATTGTTTGTGAATTTACTTTGGTGCCTTGATGGTTGATTAGCAACAGATTTTATAGGCCAGTACTTTAAAAATAATGATATAAAACAAGCAAAGTGCTTGGTTGCTTCAAGCTAAGCAGTAGAATGTAGTAGAGTGGTGAAGACTTAATAGCTTCCGACTGTGGTGGAACTTGCACCAATCTGACCATTGCCATTGATGCAGATAGGTGATGCATGTCTATTTTCCCTTGGAGAAGGCAGGACAAAGCCAATGTATTTCTAAAAGCAAGGGATATGCTGTTTGGGTGTGAGCACGTATGCTTGGCCGCGCTCTGCTCGCCCTGGCCCTGGCTCTGCTCCGCCTGCAGGTCCCGTGGGTCCAGCGCGTGCAGCTCTGTCAGCTCGGAGCCTCCTTGCCCGCTGGACAGTTTTCCAAATGAAGCATTTTGCTCTGTTATGTTCCTAACGGTGGATTTTTATTGACTTTGCAAATAAAAACAATAATTAAAAAAAAATGGCATGAAATTCTCTTCTGTTAATTGCACGAAACAGTGTAATATCAGCTGCCTGCCTGCCCTGTTAACAACCAGCCCTTGCAGTGTCGTGAAGTATTTTCAGGCTCTCTTGCACAGCGGAAGAGAGTCTCTCCCAAGGAGGTCTGACTGGCGGAGAGCACGGATTATGAAGGTTAGTAACTATTGCCACAGCTTATTTTGTCTTGATATTATGCTACAGGATCTTTTCTTCTTTCTTTAGAACACCTAAGATATAGCAATATATATTCCACTGTGTAGTAATAATATATACAAATATATACGAGTTCTACTGCTTAGTAATATTATAAACATATACATGAATAATAACTATATATTTCATATATTATAGTAATAAATACTTTTGTATATGTATACTGTGTATGTATGCTGTTACTACATATCTAAAACCATTTATTTCCATTAGATACTAYTTTATATTAGCTGTTATTTCTGTAAGTGTAGCAGGGCAAACAAGGGAGAAGGGCCTGGCTGTTCCAGCTGAACCTTGGGGCAGGCAGCCCAGCTGGGGCTGCTGGAGGCAGGAAGGGTTGTGCTTGCTGGGGGGTTTTCTAAATTCACACTAGTGAGAATAGGGTGGAAGCACTGACAATCTCCAAAAAAAGGAAAAAGCAGAAGGTTTTCAGCACAAACAAGTTTATTTTACAGCAGCACATGGCTTTGTGAAGGAGCAGTAAGGTAGAAACAAGCACCCGTGGATTTATTTATTATTTTCTGCAGAGGGAGGTGGTTTGCTTCTCCGTCAGCACCCTGTGTAAGAGGCAGCAGATAAACCTCAGCTACTGGCAGTGGCTATTCAAGAAGCAGCAGCAGGCTGCAGTTTAAGATTTGTACGTATGCAGGCATAAACATTTGCACATCCCCTGCGGTTGCTGAGTTTGAGAACACATTTGAATTTCACTCTGTGCAGCATGTTTTGCAAGGCGAATTTCTGCAAAGACAGGAACCACCAAGGGGCAAGTAATCCAATAGTGAGATGCATCACATCCATGCACATGTGCATGTACCCAGGCACAGAGCTGCTGCACCCAGGACTGTCTTCAAGCAGCTTTCCTGGTCTAAGGTTTGTCTTCATTAAAACCTTTATACTCTCACTTGGGCAAGGTACAGATGCTGGGACCAAATGGGCACCTGAGAAGCACTAGGTTGGATGCGAGGCCATCACACCCTGCTCTCCTTTTCTGTGAGCCCTTTGGGGCTCTTTATTCACACAGTGTGGTTTATTTCTATTGCTTTAAGTATAGAAATAAATGTTAGGCAGCCTGAAATCGGAAAGATTCAAGTTAGTCATTTCACAGTACTAATGAGTAACATACAACCAGCAGGTCTGCCTTGCTTTTTGATTTGCCAAAACGACAAGCTGTTTCAARGAGTGCATTTTCATAGTAAAAGATTTTTATATTCATTTTCTAAAGTACTAAAAGCTTTTCTAAAGCTACTTTCCTGTTGTCAGATAAGAAAAGTAATTAACTGTTACAGTGATAGTGTAACTTGTATCTTAAAGGTTTTTTTTTTTTTTTTTTCAATCTTGGCACTAAAAATTCAGTTACCCTTAATGTCTTACCAGGAAAACCAGAAATAACGACAAAAAGAAATTTTACTACTATGCTCAAGTTTGCTTAATGATAGTTTTTTTATTGTTGATTAAAAAAAGGTCTGCAAACAGTCAAGGTACCGTTACTTGTACTGTGCGTTGGCACCACGGTTACTTGGGGAGGTCCCTCCACCACAGTGGTGGTCTCAATGCACGTGTGCCAGGTTGGGGACTCTCCCACTCCTCAGGAGGAAAATCCCACGTGACAGGTAATTCATGGTTTTTAAACACAACATAGTAYCAAAAAAGGTACTCTGAAACTTTCATCATCTTTAAGCAGCAGCTTCAAAATCAAAATCAGGCATAAAAATTTGCAGCCCCCTCCCCCCCCCCCCCCAAAAAAAAAAAGTAATTTGTTAGCTAAAGAAGGTTGATTAAAAAAAAATCAAGGTCATCAGAAAGCCACAGTTTTCCATCCTTTCATATACAGATTTTAAAGCCTTTTACAGTMAAGGGTATGTGCTTTAGCCCCTGCTAGCAATTAGTCCATACTCAAGGAGCTTGTGCTGAGGGAAGGGGAGGGGAGTTATCTGACCAGAAACATGGAGTTTTCTGAGAAATGGGGATTGCTGTTCCCAAAGTAACACTTCGCAGGGAAACGGGTGAGAGGCAAGAGTCTCTTGGACTGGTGACTCAAAAACCAACCCACCCAAAAGACAACAGAGTATTTGYGCCAATGGAAACTGAAAGGGTGATCCCAAACAAACTCTGCTCTACTCTACAGTCAGGAAGGTTCTACTCAAAAACACTTCCCTTTAGGAATGACTGATGCACAAAGTACCCACCTTTTCTGACCAATTATGAAAGATAACACAGAACAAAGATAAATGTTTCAAGTTACTAGGCTCTTAACTGTTTTGTAAGTGTGAGATCTAAAACAGTCTTTCATTTAAAAAAGAGTTCCTCACAGATTCTTCTTGTATCTTCTGGTGATGTGACGCTGTAGCCTTCTGTTCTGGAGTCTGTGAAAATTTCATAGTCGTTTCCTCCCTGTAACAGAGGAGGGAAAAAAAAAAACAGATGAAGATTTCATGTTCTGTAGCTCAGTAGACAGGTAATTGGAGGAAGATGTTGAAAAGAGTCTGAATTAACCGCAGACTTAAAGGTTGGTCTTCAACTACCATGAGGACACYTTGGAAGCAGCCTCCTTACACAGGAACACAGGTTCAGTTCAGGCAGTGCTTGTTAGTGCAGAATGCACATCATTGCTGCTACCTCAGAATACTGGCGTGTTGCTGGCTAGTGCATTTGGAAGTGCTTCCTGGTCAGGAGCCTGATGAAACAGTCTTTCCTGTCTTTAGCATAGGATACACAACCCACAGCAGCCTACAGCATGGTTAAGGTGGGAAGGGACCTTCTTTTTTAGGAAGCAGGTAGCATAAATGAATGAAATTTTGCAGGGTTGGATCAGATCTTATCCAATTGTTTTTTCACTTCAGGTTAGTTTCTGAGAGACAGAGACAGAAACTCCTGCAAAGCGCAGCAGATCGTGCATCATCACAGCTGAGACGCCGTCCTACAGAGAGCTAGAACTGCCAGGCGCCAAGTGCAGGTAGTGCTGGGATTTTGCATAGCGTGTCCATCCCCCCTGTGCTGAAACCTCTGCAGAGCAGCAGCCGCTGCCATGAGGAGGCTCCCTGGCCTGCCGGAGGTGCCCRTTAAGTTTGCAGCAGTTCGGCCTATGTTACTGCTTTCATAGAGCAACACAGTATTAATTCTTGCTTGCCTGTTACTATTAAGGTGTAAAACTTGTTACAGAAGATGATACCAGCACATCCTTTGCAACACTTTTGCATTTTCCTCTTCCTTCCAGTTTGTTTTCTTTCCTTTCAGCTAAACCTGTGCTAACAATGCTGTCCCTATTTTGTCCTTGCTAGCTCCAAGTCTGATGTGACATTTGCAATTGGTTAATGATTACAAGAGCGCCAGAAGGTTCCTCCACGGCCAGTTCAGTGAATCAGGGAGCCACCTGCAAGAGCAGAGGGCCCCSAGACGTTCAGGGACTGCAGGAAACGAGAGTATCTATTTTTTCCCTCACTTGCCACCCTGCTTTCCAGTGAGTCAAGAGCCAACTGTGGCTGCCTTGAAGCTCTGAAAAAGCTGCCCTGTCATTTACAGACAGGGATTASAACCAGCAGTCCAAGAACTCCTTGCCAGAGGCACAGGTTTGCACCCAGTGCCAAGGGGAAAAAAATAAAAAGGAAGCTCTTATTTTTCATGTAGGGCTTTGCCTGCGCTCGAAGGACAGTCCCTCAGCTATGGTCAGAGCCTGAATTTCAACCAAGGCCTGTGGCTGCTGTTCCCTTCGGCTAATCCTAGTCCCTTCTCTGCTCAGTATTCAGGAGCCTCCGGGTCACCCTGCAGAAGCCTTCAGAGGACTCCAGGTCTCTTTCCCGACCACGGAGAGGGATAATTTCAGTTCCTGAATGTACAGGCTAATAAACGTTTTCAAAGGCATTGGAAAAATGAAAACATTTAATCAGCAGCCAGCAAGAAACATCCATCTTCCACCCAACAACCCTCAACTACCATACAAGTTAATCAACTTCACGAAGTCRAGCCATCTAGGTTTTAAATCTAATTACAGAATTTTCAAATATATTCCAGTATTAACCCTGAAGAACTCTGTGTTCACTTCAGAGGAGAACAGCAATCCGTGCTCAGGGCAATCCACAATCCCTCAGCACTAGGCCCACTGCCCAGGCAATTTTAATTCAGAAAACACCCAATTAAACCTATGTGGCTTGTGGATTAAAATAGAAGCTTTGAAATGTATGTGCAGAACAATATACTCACTGGCATAGTCTTATCTCCAAAGAAATAAATAGTCTTGTATTCATCTTTGGCAACGATTCCTAAGCAGTACCTCTTATCCCAGCCTTCGGGAAACACATCAATGCTTATCTGGCCTCCTAAAACAGACACAAACCAAGCAAATTATTTCATTGTAAGAAGACCTCCCTTGTGAAAAAGGGAAAAAGTGAGCAACAATTTTATTAAAGTCACAAAAAATGTTATGAGAAACTGCAAGACTATGATTTTTTTTTTTTTTTAAACATGCATTTGCTTTTGTATATTCTTCCCACATGATGGGAACTGACAAGCTAGGGGCTACTGGAACAGTTTAATGTAGTTTTTCTGGTCAAAATTGATTAGCAGAAATAGCTCTGACTAATGAGAAGTATGCAATGGGTTTTGAAAATGAGCAAAACCAGCCACATAGCTGACATTAAAGACCATCAGTTAATGACAAGCAATGCAGTTCTCTTTGTTGATGTGTTGATGGATTTCAATTAAAAATCACCACCTGACAGACTAAAAGGAAAAAAAAAAAAGAGTTTAATTTTGCAGGCAGTGCYTGCAACCACCCCCACAGGGAGAACAGTCATCCAAATGAGAGGTTATATCACATCTATGAGAATATGATTCATCTTTCATGTAATTTGAATGAATTGTTTTAAATGAAATTATTTTAATGAGTTACCTATAGAAAACGTGAGGCCTTTTCCTGCAAATTCTCTTTGTAAATCAGCTACAAATTTCTCTCTTATATGTTCCTTCTGTTAAGGAGGAAAAGCATCAGTTATGTGCTGTTATTTCAAAGAGTTAAAAAAAAAAAAAAAGAAGTGTGATATGGCTATATTCTATTAATCTTTGAAGTATGTTGAGAATATTTCTATATTAATTATCAACAACTTGTAAAAAAATACATATTGTGATATTCATATTTCCATCCAAAAACATCTTAAAGTACTAAGAAAGTGGGCTTATCTCCCCTTAAAAGTCAATGTTACAGAGGGAGAAAATGAGACACAAAAACATTAATCAGGTAGCATGGCTCAGATTCATTTCAACCTTACATAGTTTGCAGTGAACAGGGGGATAAAAGGCAGTCTGATCAAGACTTTTAAATTTTGCTCAAAAGGCTTAAAGGATTTGACAAGAAAAGGAATAATTTATTGGTGTGCACAGGAGAAAAGCGAGGACACTGAGGAGGAAGCAGGGATTCCTCTCTGATTCCTTGATTTATGCAGAAGTGGGAATCCAGTGCTCTGCATAGAGGCCTGAAAACACAAATGAAATAAACCCTCCTGCAACCCGCTGCTCTTGCCTCAAGGAGCCTGAAGCCTGAACTAGGATGTTTGTTCAGCCCCATGGACAGAATTAAACTGAAAAATCAGACAAGGTGCAAGTGCTTCTTGAAACCCCCAGCCCGAAACTACAGCCATGCTCAGGAGAGTCAGTATTGCCAAGAGCTGAGACTCACCTGGTCGAATTCATAGAACTCGATGCGCTCCTCCTGGCTGCAGCTTCTTCCAATGGGGGACACATTTAACATCCCGTTTCGGAACTCAATGAAAGTGCCCCTGAAAAAACAAACAAAACCAAAATGATTTGCGAGACAGAAAACATGAAAAACTAGCTCAAAATAYTGGGTATCACAAAGAAGCTTTATTTAATTCTATTGAGAATCACAGGTCTCCCTCAGCCTCTCATTTTATGTACGAAAAAGCATCAGGACCTCTGGCACCAAGGAGTCTTTTATACTTTTACATGAATCTAGGAGCCTCCACATGGCCATATTCAGTTCTGGTTTTAAAGTAAACTGGAACATCCTGTCAATGCGACTTTCATACTGACAGGCCACTCTTTTACATCTGGGGTGAAAGGACGAGGTTTTAAGCATCCTAGTAGCCTCACACAAGGAATGTATTAATGTCCCTCACACGGAACTGATCTTACTGCAAACATCTACCATATGGAAACCACCGTGCTGTTGAATTCCAAACACACCAAGGGAATGATTTGCTTACAAAAGTTTAATTTCCTTCCTTCTCAAATGAAAATTGCCAGGATTTCAAGTCCTATTTGAAATCCTCATCATTGCCTATCAAGAGCCAGAAAGACAGAAAATAAACAGCTCTGGCAGTACCTTTGAATAAAAACACACCTCGTAATCCTTTGTCACCTACACGTCCCTCACACGCACGTTATTTATTTTCTGATGAAGTAAGAGTCTGCRTTACGTATTGATGCTCAACACTAACTCGGGGAACGAGGCGACACGGAGATGCACGTACCTCTTCTTTGGCAGTTTAATCTTTGCAATGTAGCTCAGGCAGTAGTTGATGACGTCTTGAAGCAGGTCCTCACCCAAGTGGCCCTGAATGCTCTGGCAGAAGAAACAAGGGCTCAGGGTCTGAAATTCTGAAATAGGTCATCGCAGAGGAGGAGGAAACACATACTGGACACTCAGACACAGCTAATACTAGGGAAAAACAAGGCTTCAGGAAATAGGTGATGCTGACTCTAGGCTCCCATGCTTTTAGTTTTTAAACTATAACAACAACCTGCTATTTAACATCTTCCATACAGGCGTACAGTTCTGTGGGCCAAAACCAAAGACCTAAATGAAAAGTCCCAGTTAATGCCTCCTGCAGCCAAGCAGAAAGCAATGGAGATCTTCGTTGTTCCAACAAACCGGGAACCACTGCGCTGGTCAGGGTCTATCTCAGGCTGTTCACCAGAACGTGCACCCCTGGATTTYGTGTAAAGAGCAGCTCGAGGGAGGAGAGGAACCTGCTGAACCCCAAGGCCACGGGCATCATCCGTGGCTGCATCTCCCCCGGGAACTYGGGAGCAGAGGCCTGTGGAGGCGGAAACGCCGCTCCGGGATTGTCACTGCTCGCACATGGCCAGCCACTCCCAACAGCCTCTGGCTTGGGAAGGCCCCGGGAAGGAAGCCTGGGGTGGAGATGGTCCCTGCACAAGCCAGGGAGCGCACGGAGGGCTCCGTTACAGAAATGACGCACGGAGACAGCACCGCTCTGCGGCAGGGGAGCTAAAGCCGGGGCAGACCCTCTCACTTCACCTCCAAACACACTGCAGACCTACCTGCTTGCTCAGGAACTTCCCATCTTTGTACGCCACAAGGCCGTTTTCGGGGAAAACATAGTCAAATTTCTCAATCACTAAAACCAGAGGAAAGGGAAAAAAGAGCCAAAGAAAGGCAGTGATTTACAGCTTTCCCCCAGCACTGCCCTTGGCCGCGGCCCGGCCCATCCCGCGCTCCCGTTCCCGTTCCCGCTCCTCACCGTCGTCTCCGAGCTGCTCGCGCAGCTTGGCCAGGTCGGAGCCGCCCACGACGCCCACGCGCAGGCGGCGCCGCAGCCGCTGCAGGAACGCGCCCATCTCCGCCGTGACCCTCTGCGGGGCGAGAGGCGGCGCCGTGAGCGCGGGGGAGGCGCGGGGGGGACGCGGAGGGGGGTCGCGGCGCGGGGCGCGCACTCGCCTGGCGCGGCGCCGTCAGGGTGCCGTCCACGTCGAAGAGGCAGAGCGCGGGAGC